CTATGATACAGGCATTTTTGGTAGTTGCGAGTAGTAACTGTTTGTACAAATGTTTTTTACTGGTTCGTTTCAAAATAAAAAAACCCCTCTGCCATCCTGTTGGTGAGGGCAGCCTGGTGTGGGCTACACCTCGGATACACAGTCCTGGAACCAGAAAATCAACACAGCTTTAATTTCAAGTAGAATTCCCCTGGAGAAAAGCTTTCGTGCCATGCACTGCTAAGGAGTGTATTCCTCAGCAGGGAACGTTCTCTCAAAGCATCCGATCCACTCATCTTCATCTGCAAGTGCATCGCTAATTGTCAAACTTTCGGAGTCTAAACTGCATGTTACGGTGGGGGCTGTGTTCCCTCTCCAGCACTCTGGAGGGGAAGGGAGGTTAAACATGCAGGTTTTAATGCTGGAGGAGAGTGCACGGACCAGGTATGTGGTAGACAAGATTTATCTATACACAAATTTAGGAAAGAAGAGGGGACAAGGGAGAAGGGAAAGGAAAGAAAGAAAAGAAAGAAAAGAAAACAAATCAGAATTACATGCACTATACATAACAATAAGGATAAATGGGTACTGCAAACCAAAATGCTTTGCTAGTTTGGGCTGTGGCAATGCACTAGTACTGAATTAGTGGTGGCAATAAAAGGAGCCAAGCAGAGAGCACTTGAGCAAGCAGAAGTGCCGGGAGTGTAAAGGGAATTTTGCCTCTTTAAGGACTAAGTTTCACAGTGTCTGGCCATCTAGATTGGAATTAACAGTAACAGCAACACTGCCCCGTTGCCAGGAACAACCTTACTGCTCCCTTTGGGAGGTCCTTGCTGCTTGGGAGGGAGCATGCCCAAGGCAACACCTCGATAACCTTTGGAGGGACCCGGCCGGCCCGGGAAGCCTATCGGCTCACTGTCCCAAAACTATTTTCTCTCTGAATGTCACTCCAAGAGCACGCTCATGTCACTGCATGAGCAGCGAGAGGAGGGAGGGGAACAAATTAACTTAAACATATGAAAAGGTTTAGAAAAAGAACCCTTCAAAGATAGGAACAAAATTAGGCTGAGGAAGATGGCTAATGTGGTAATTTATTCTAGATAGATCAGTTCAAAAGGATGGGTCTGTTATTCATTAGAAAGCAAGAGAGAGTGGTTATGAACTGGAATCATGACATCAATTAGTTTCCCCATTAGCAGTGATTGGGGTAGCTGGCCAGCCCTGTGCAAATGAATACATGCAAGGAATTTCTTATGTCAATTTAGTATTACAGACTAATGTAATTGTTAACCTTGGTACTTCACATTCATTTTTGGGGCTTAATGAATCAACTGTCTAATTTGTCAATGTTGATTAAAGGATGAAAGAATGAGGGTATTTTCATGCAGGAAAGAAATTGCTTTTGAAAAAATAGAACTGATCTATGTTGTGTACATAAAATCAGGCATGAAACTACTGAAGAAAGCCGAGTTTGGGAGTCAGACATGCCTCTGGTCCTGGTCCAGCTGTGCAATGAAATATGCTTAAAAATGTGAGAGTGAAGCACAAGTTTAAGTATTTTACTAAAAAAGATAAATTTAAACTTATGCTTCCAATCAACCAGAGTGGAATCTTTGATTAGATCTCTTAGATCTTTGGCTGAATCAGGATTTAAATCAATGCCAGGCAAAACCCAGAGATAAAACCAGTTGCAAAATAAAATGTGTTCTGTTTTGCATATACTCAGACTTTTCAAAAGCACACAGGAGATTCAAAAGGATCTTAATTTTCAATTCTCACTGTAAAAACCAGCATGCTCTCCATGATGGTTTTGCATACGAGATATCCAGCTTCCTTTAAAGTTCCCCCCTTTTGAGAAACCAGAAGAGCCGGAGGAAGGGTGGCCTGGGATGGATTCTGCTGTCCCTGTATCCTTTCAAGCACTGAGAAAATCACAGCAGTTAAGAATTGGTTCTTTAACCCCAACAAGCCCCTGGGGAACATTTGGCTGCATTTATGAAGAGGACTGAAAAAAATAAAGTGCTAACAATGTGGAGAACATTTAGGCATGTTGCCAAAGGAGATGATACTCATCACGCACATTCTTTGGAGACTCCTGGATGGCTTTCAGATCAAAATCCATCAACCTTTTTGTTATTTCTGTAGGAGAATTACAGTTCTCTGGAGTTTTCTCTGTGAAATCCTCCTTGAATTTAAAGCATGGTTAACCTGGAAACACAACAATATAAATCCTCAGCAGGTTCATGATCGTAAGCCTGCTTACCTGTCTGCGGAGCAGCCTTTCAGCAGAAGGAGAGTGCACCTGCTGGGAAACCTGGGGTTTGCTCTCCCTCGCCAAATGGTCATGAGCTCTGATGTGGTGAAAGTGGTCTTTTGGAATTTGCAGGAGAGAGCTGGTGTCTGCTGGCTGCGACTGCACCGATGCCTTTGAACCTTGCAAGAGGGAGAAGAAACAGAAACGTGACATGTTCATCTGGGGATTGCGTCCCAATCTCAGTGACCTTTCAGAGCATTTTGGACCAGACAGGCATGGCACAACCACTGAATTCAGCAACTGCCTGTCCCTGATTGGGAAAAAACTCCCGCCTACTAATAAATTATTCCAAAATTGTCTATTATTTCATTTTTCTTGGCATTTTCCCCTGATACAACTGGGACTAGCTCCTGTTAAGAACAGAAGTTTATGAACTACAAGTTCATCTGGACTGGCAATTTCTACATCCCTGCTTTAGGGCCAATAACTTCGCAGGCAACCACACATCTTAGCACCGCAAGGAGCTGACTTTGAAAGCCCCTAGCAAAGGATGTCTCCATACCTGAGCATATGCAGAGACTGACTGCTGGGACCTCAAAACCAGCATGCACGCTGGAAATGAAGCAAAAGGGAATGGCACCTGGCAGCGTTCAAGGCTAGTTTTGCAAAGCATCCCAGGAGAAGGAAACACATACTCTCCAGCCTCTTCCTGACCCTTTGCGGTTGCTGGCTACTTCTTCTAAAAGGTTTGAAACTCTGCATGCTCCCCCCGCCACAGGCTCAACATTTTTCAAAACAATTCATTTAACCTGGACCGCATCCCAGAGAATCTCATTTGTCCTGGAATCCTTCCCAGAACAACAGCCCCATTACGAAGGAGTATTCAAACAAATACCTCCTGCAAGTGCCAGTGTTTCTGACAACAAAACCTTTCTCAGCTTGAAATATTATGGCTTAGTTGTGGTGATTTATTAGAGGCGCCTGGCACCTTTTGCTGTCTTCACAGCACTTTATAATATTACAAACTGTAAACAGGTAGGGGTGACTTCCCCTGCCCTGAAAAGCGTTGACATTGTAGGAGGAACAGGACAGTGATGCATATGCCAGGATTTGGGCACCTTACCCACCTCTGAGCACTTTGGCCTGCTTAAGACGATTGGAATTTCACCAGCGGGAGAAAAACACAAAATGTTTAATTGCTTGATGTGGTTATGAATAAGACATCAGCTTTACCTTTCCAAAATACTTCTCCTACATCTCAGTGGAACAGTTTTTCCTGTGGATTTATAAGGGTGCAATGCCAGCCCCTGCCCAAGCCCTGACTGTCGGATGAGGCTATTCCAGTCTCCAACCTGGAAGTGCAGTCTTGAAGAAAGAAGGGACTCAGAAATTACCCACTTTTTGGTCAGGTTGACGTAGTTTTTGCTCAAGATAAGACAAACGCATCTGAATTAAGGGTCAAAAATGCAGCACTGGAAACTCCCTCTGTAGCAAAAGGGATTCTCTTGTATGGTCAGGGATTATAACTCCAAGGAATTTCTTGGCTGTTAGAGCATGCCATAAATTCTGGCTCTGCTGAAGGCAATGGGAGTTTTGCTATTGAATTCAGTGGGATTTGACCAGGATTTTAGCTGCACCTTTCCCGTTATGTGCAAAGATTCTTCAAAGGAGAGCTCCCTACCTTGGAAATTTTGTATTATGGCAGTGCTTTCTCACAACTCATCTTCCTCCGTTGTGTCCGCATATTTTTTTTCTGCTGTTCAACAGTCACTATTCATCCAAATTCTTATTACTATGCAAATTTCAACATCTTATTTCTAATCTGTTCAAATCTCCTACCATTCTGAACAGTGCTGAAATTATGTTCCGCTTAGAGGCTTTCAAATGACAATGCTTGTAAAAACTTCTCTGTCTTATCTGTGACAAATGTCTAAAATGATGGCACGTACAGAAGAATTAGAGGCAGCTACATTCACTTACCAGCAGAAGGTAACCCCTGGCAGACAGAGTAAGTGAAAGCACATTGATAAGCACTGGGAAGCAGCCGCGAGTACAGGTACAGAGGTGCGGGTAGAGAGAGAGAGCTCTTGGTATCTGCAAGACGCCGTATCTAAGAATATCTCTGAATTTAGCTCTAAGGCATCTATCCCAACCACGCACACTGGGAAGGAGAATTCTACGCTTTCTCATTTTTCCATGCATGTCATGCTGAGATCTCTCTTAATTCAGTGCATTTATGTTCATTTTACAGGCATTTAGAGGCACCGCTTTCCCATCTTTCACAGATGTTCCCATATAGAGCTTCCAAAACCTGTTAGAATAGGGTCTGCTGCAAAAAAACAGACATGAGGAAATATTTTTCTGCTGGGATTTTTGCTCTGGGGCCATAAGTAGCTCAGGTGAGATGGATGGAGCCCAGGCTGTACAGACTGTAACCTTCAGGGAACCAGGCTGAGGGACAACCAGCACTGAGCCAGGCCTAACGATGTTCCCATATAGAGCTTCCAAAACCTGTTAGAATAGGGTCTGCTGCAAAAAAACAGACATGAGGAAATATTTTTCTGCTGGGATTTTTGCTCTGGGGCCATAAGTAGCTCAGGTGAGATGGATGGAGCCCAGGCTGTACAGACTGTAACCTTCAGGGAACCAGGCTGAGGGACAACCAGCACTGAGCCAGGCCAACTGCTCACTGTCACATTGCCAAAAAGTTCAGAGGAAAGGAGTTATCTTTAACAGCCTGGACTTTGTAAGCTGGGGAGGGTCTTTGCAAAGCCATTCCACTGGTCTGGACACCGACACCTGACTGGAAACTGATGGCAATTTGCTGCCTCATACTGAATAGCTTGGAAAATCCCAGCTATTGCTATATTGGAAAATCCCACTCTTGTCCCAGCTGGCAGATGTGTACCTGACTGGGACTTGTGATGTGCCGGATTCTTCTCGCCCAGGGAGGCAGGGCAGGGGCTGGAGTACGGCGGCTGGAACATGTAGCTGTCATTTGGCAAAGAGTGGGTGCGCCCCACCGAAGGCTTTCTCACGCTCAGCAAGTCCTTGCTGGGAGACAGGGTCAGCGTGTCGTCTTTGGAGCGGAGATCAGCCTACGGGGAAAAAACCAGTGAGGAAGGAAGACATCATGGGGTGGGAAGAGGAGAAGTGCCCAGAAACGCTAGCAACAGCCATTGCAATCAGTATGGCACGATGGGCATGCACATCGTCAGTATGTTGCACGAATGGATCTACCAGGAAGCTATACCCCTCCTTTTGTAGTGTCAATAAATTGTCACACAGAATGAACCACAGAAACAGAGGAAGCAACACTGGAGTAATAAACCATGACTATTTCGGGGATATGCAAAGGCGGCATCATGCCTCAAGGCCAGCAAAGGTCACATGCTTCACATAAGTTTGATCCTCTGCAATAACAGTAAAGCTCTCTCTGTGCCCTCATCAGCAAGGCAGACTTTTGCAAAGGTGAGGAGTTTCCTCTGCTAACAATTAAAAAAAAAATAAAAATGCAAAAACTAGTTTACAGAAAATATCCTATATTCTGGCTCCCAGCACAATTTTATTGGTTTTTCTTCTCACATAATGAACAACTAAACCCATTTTATTGGAAGGGATACCTAAACCTACTTCAGGGTTAAAGCCATTCCCTAATTAGAGGGATCTGATGCAAGTGAGGGTTATTGTATATATGTTGACTGTGGAGCTTTTACAGCCAAAATGTTTCTTGGAATGGGCAGCACCAGAGGCAATATCAGATGAGGTGGATTCAGGTCTGATTTCATAAGGAAATATCTCTGTCCCAAAAATGTTCTTGGGTGTTACTATGTTGGATGGTATTAGCAGAAATGGAAGCAAAGTCAACTTCCCTGGATATTTCTAATGAAAGAATTATTTCATCTTTAAAAGGTCTCCATTGAAAAACACAGAAATAAGATGTGCACTGCAGTCTGACACAGTATATTGCTGATCATTTTTGGAAAACTTATTTTCTGACAAATCTTCCCTTCACTCAGTGCATTACAGGTTTTCTGAAATTAACACTGAGATTCTTTTCCCTATTTTCTCCTTCAGTCATAAACCCAAAATTTCACTGTGGCGTTCTGTTTGCACAAGAAACACAATGAGATTGAAAGGAATTTACAAAAAGGAAAAAAAAAAAAGGAGGAAAAAAAGAAGAAAAGGAAAAAAAGAAGACCACTTGTAAATTTAATGAGGGAAATGGATCTGCACTGTCATGCAGCATGAGTTTCAGTCCTCAGGAACCTGCCGATTTGGATGTAGCCTGGATATAGCCTAGATAAGATAGACTGCAGTCTCCTGATATAGCTCAGGGAAGGAGAACGAAACCTGCGCTGGTAAAGCTGAGACTTTGGGTTTTGGAAACCTCGCTGTTTCTCCCTGCCTTTCCCTTATGAGCACTATGTTTATGCTATTTAGCTTTCATATTATTTAGCTTAAAGCAAAAAAGATGGCCTGAAACCTGAGATTTCAAATTCAAAACCATTTGGATCTGAACCCGAGAATTTGGAGTCAACATCCTACCCAAACCCAACCTCTAATGAACCTTTAGGTTCATTGACAGGATCCAATACCATGGCAGGCTCGTTTCCACTTTCTGATCATCTTGGGGCAAATCCCATGAGGGAACTTCATGAAAACCATTTAAAATGGCTGCAAAATGATCTTCCGAGTCCAGCTCACAAATGGAGCAGTGGGAGCACATGACTTTTTGGTTCACTGGTAGTTTTGAAAAACATGTTGTTTTGGCTTGACTGAAAATCAAATCTGAGTTTTCCATGAACCAAAAAAAAAAAAAATCCCAACCCAAATCTATTTTGAGTCAAACAAAACACTCCGAGATATTTTTCAACTAAAGCCGTGTCTAAACGAAGTATAAAAATATTGCATTTAGAAAAGATTTCAATGAAAGTTTGCAGTCTTTCAGGAGTTCAGGAAATTGTTTTGACCAAAGCACCTTGTTGGTATTGACTCAAATTCACAAAATGCTTTGTTCAACCTGGGTTTGCTTTTTTTTTTTTTTAATTTTTTTGAGAAAAACCATCTCCCTTGGCTCTACCCTTGAGGCTTTGCTACGCTGTCAAACAGGTTTGCCTAACCTGATTCAAAGCTAGAAGGGCTCTCTCCTCAGTCCAGCTCTCCAGGCTAATTTTGAAACAAAATGTCCCATACAATGTTAAATGTGGTTTACAAAATCTTTTGCACGTGATGCCATGAAGCATGATGGGAAATATTGTCACGGTTTAATAAGAGATGTTTCCCAAATAAGTGCTAATTAGGATGACAATTGACTAGAATGGCAGAAAAGTTATCAACAACACAAACATCCAAAGGCAGGGACATGAACAACAAAGAAAACAGGAATGATCCAAAAATGTTGGAAGAGGAGTTATGTCTGTTGTACAGCAGAAAAAAAAGCACTTGGACTGCTACACAGCTAAAAATGTCTAATGTTTCAAAGAGGAGATGGTTAAGGCAGGGTTCAAAATACTGGGTACTTCATTCAAAAAGACACAAAGTAATCCAAACTTTTTTTTTTTTCCAGCAGGATGACTGCTAGTAAGAATTCACAAACCAAGCAGCATCTCGGAGCGATCCCCCATCTGATATTTGTAAAATAAACAGTCTGGCACCAATCATGCAAAAAAGCTTTGCGGTGCCTGTGTTCATAAGGACAAAAATCCATGACAAACCCAAGGGTTGCCGATGACCCCTCAGCAGAGGACACATGAGTCATTAGCTCATGGGTGTCTCTTCCACGCAGCATCACTGATTTGTTTCAGATGGGGAGGAAATTTCAACCTTGACGCTTTCCAAAGCAGTTTTTTTTTACTATTTATTTTACTTGTAGAAAACACATTGGTTTTACATTGTTTTTACGCCAAAGGAAAAACAGAAATAAATACTCATTCCTCGCAAGGAGCCTCTGTGGACAAGAGTGATAACAACCCAGGACCTAATGGCATTAAGGACAATGTCCTGTACAGGGGGAAGGTTGGTGCTATTTGGAAATGGGCTTGAAAATGCCATTAGGCAGGCATAGAGAGGTGGAAGCAGTATTTCGAACCCTGTAAACATCAGACTATACAGCGACCAGTGTATGTACATTGCTTTCCAGAGCATTAAGTAAGTGTGTGTTAGTATCATCAGGAAAAGAGTCATCCGTCAGAGCTAAGGACCAGGACTTTTCAGAGAGAATATCTGACGTCAGAGACAGAGCCTCCATCTCAGCTAGAGGGATCTAAAGGGAGAGATGATTAAGCATAAGAAACCAGGACACAAATCTTTAGGAAAAGAAAAAAGAAATTATCATAATCTAAATACTTCTAGACACTAAAGCAATGTCCCCCCAGTGGGAGATGCTACATCATGCACATTATTACTGGGGACAGAATGTTAAAGAAATATAACAAAGAAATGATAAAAAAAAAAAAGAGCGGGACATTCATACTTAAATGCTTACCAATGAGCTGGGAGGGAGTTTAAAACCATACACTAATGCTAGCATTGTATTTTGTTGTTCTCCTGTCTAGATGAAGAAGCAAAAGTAATATTACTTTCATACTAAAGATATTTATCCTCTTGGCTATGATCAAATAGAAGAAGCTTCAAGATCTTCTGACTTCTCTGAAGCTGCTCCTACCCAATAACCATGCTGTTCTCTTGGCTTCTAAGCTAATCTGGTTGAGTCCCTAAAGATTTCCCAACACCAAAATAATTTTGCAGGTGGGGTACAGAGCATGCCTTTCCTTGCACTCCGGGGAGGTATGGGGACCTCCCGCTCCCTGGGAGGCAGGAAGGACGATCATCAACTTCCTAATGGCTAAACTGGGACAGGAAGAGACTTAAGGCTTGATTCAAAGTCTGGAAAGGCCAACGAGTGCCTTCCTGGTGACTTCAGTGGGTTTTGGCCTGCTAAAGAGCCTCCAGTGCCTGGGTAAGCACCAAGAACTGTCCTACTAACAGGACCACCTGCGCCTTCCAGCCCCCAAATGCCACCCCAGCCCCCAACAGCCTCCTCTGGCCCTGAGCAGACCCAAGCTGGGAATGGGTGCTGCGCTGCCGCATTGACGCTGTACCAACACGTCTTGCTGAAGGCATTCAAGTGATTGACAAAAATCTTTATCAAAATATTGATGAAGCTGTCTCCCTAGACACACAGCTCTTTTTATAAGAAATGTGAAACGTCACTTCAGATTTGAGAGAGAAAGGGGAAAACAGGGCCTGCAGCGTCTCCCCCAGAGCAGTATCCCTGGCACCACAAGGAGGGATGCTTGCCCTGAAGTGCAGGCTTGGTCCTGCCCAAATCCCCACCTCAGTATGTGTCTGAGGCTGGTGGCCGCGGCAGTGGGAGAGTGGCACTGGGGACGGCATTTCATCGGGTGACCTACGGACCTGGCTCATGCTTGCAGGGGCCTCCTGGTCTGGACAAGTCCCAGGTGCTTCCTTTTCATTTCTCACTGTGCTTTTTTTTTTTCCTATCCTCTATGCCTGAAAAGTCTTTCAACAGCAATATATCTTCCAAGAGAAACCACAGAGGCCCAGATCTGTTGCACTTAAGTTGCCAGAGGGCTGGATTTTCTCACTCTTAGAAATGGCATTGCTGGGATGAAATAAACCCAGTGATGAGTGAACCTTGAGAGGCTCAAAACTTCAGCTGAGATAAGGAAGAGGGTCGGGCTCCTCTCATCTAACCTTGGGTTTGATGTCTCCTCTAACACAGTCGTCTGCTGGCAATGGATGAGAGAGACACTTTGGAGGAGCTCCTGATTTCATACGAGGCTCCCCAAAAAAGCATCGCTGCAAGAGGAGGGTGATCCCTAATGGGGACGGGTTCAACCCTTCGACTGGAGCCCAAGCACACGGGGAAGGGCTGCGCTGGAGCATGGTGGACACTGGCAGCTCCTGCCTGATAGTGCTGCTCTGCTGGGAGCTGCGATTAATCAGGTTGCTTTCAGCAAGTCCCAGCGCTGCGCTAAATTCCTGACTTGCCTGAGAACATGACAAATGGTGTGAACAGAAAAGCCAAAATGTAAACAAAACATCACACACACACCCCCCCTCTTCAGCCTCCCCTCTCCCAAAATTGAGTTTGAAGCCATCAAAACATGTTGGAAACATTCAACTGATTCATACAGGTTTTAATTATGGGGTGGAGGGGGAAATAGCCTAAATTTTAAAAGAAAAAGCCATTGCAAACTGGAATGCTATATTTTTTCATTAAAAAAATGTCAAAACAAAACCATTTTTTTGCTGCAGCAGCACTTTCTGGCGAAAAATGTTGTGACCAAAAATTTCCAGCCAGCTCTCGCTGAGTTTCATACTGACCCTCTGCCTTCCCCACCAAAGCTACCGTCTCTATTCCGCCAGCAGTTCTTAGAGGCAACCACTTCTGATGGCTTAGCAGACCTCAATCTGGAACGCGCTACACAGCAATCAGAGGCAGACATGATAGCCCACTGTATAAAGATCTGCAGTAGGATTTCATTTCACCTAAGCTTGTTCCTTTCCTCTAATGAACCACCAAGTTGGATAATTTAGAGTGTCGGTGAGCTCATAAATAAGCACAAGAAAACCTCCACTATTTTTAGCCAGAAAGGAAAAAAAAAAAAATAGATCAAGAACTGCGGAATTTGCTCAATTCCAGCTGCAGGAAAAACCAGGTATGCTTGAATTATTATTATGGTCACTGCTGTGATTTAGGGAAAATATTTGCTATAAAGAATAACACGCTTGAGAAAGTAGGTATTTTATTCTAAGAAGTAAATGAACTAATTTTAAACAAGTATTACAGCCCCTGTTCAAGAAAGCACTGGAGAAACCGATTACTTCAGCACATCATTAAGGGCTGCCTCACCTCCTAAATTCAGTTTAGATCAGAGGCGAGGATCTAGTTTACAATGACCCACTTGCAAGAAGCCTCTTTAGGAAAATCATTCAACACTGGATTTTCCCGCAGTGTAAGCAGGCACAAAAGGTAGACATCATTTTCTGATCCCCTCAGGCTCTGCTCTGGGAAAACCTCACACCGTACTCCAGGCTCTGCGGACATGTCCTGATGTTGCCGCGGAGCCCTGCTTAGGAACAAGAAGCCAAATACAAGAACCCCACTGAAGGATGAAGATGGGATTTTGTTTTTTACAACGCTCATGAATAGTAAATCCCAATGAAAAACTCCTTACTGTGCTGAGAAGGGAAACTCGGAGCCTGTACTTTTCCTCTTGCATTGATACACAACACCATAACCCAAGATCTTGTCTCAACTCCCACAGAAAAAGCCAAAATGACTTGTGCTTCAAAATCCCTGTGACTGCATTACATAAAGTAAAGAACTTTAACTCTCTATTAAAGGTCTCAGTCAAATCAAGTTTAGATGGAGACTTTGCAGGAAATTAGGAATATTAACCTGGTTCTCAGAGTTGTAATATTCGGGAGCTGGGAGGGCATAATGATGGCACACAGAGCCTGACAGGTTGTCCATCAGCTTCAGCTCTCCTTCCAGAGACTCCTGGATCAGCAGTGATATGGTAGACAGAGACAGAGAGAACAAAAAAAAAGGACAGTGTATAAAACCCAACAAACAAAAGGAAAAAAAAAAACCACAACAGAATTGGGGGGGAGCAAGACGGCAACGTTCAGGGAGAACAGCAGTAACAGAAACGACGGGACGGGAGAGGAGAGGCAGGAGAGGAGAGAGAACAGTGCAGTAATATCACGGTGAGCAGTGACAGCTTTCTCAGACATTGCTAGAGACGGGGCCGACGCCGGCTGCCCCGGGATCCTGGCTGCTCCTGCTCAGGGCCCTCCCTGGGGACAATCCTCGCTCTCAGCAAACATGACCGGTTACTCCTGGGGTCTGAGCTGTGTAATGGGGCCGGTATGGCAGCACCTGGGCACGTGGTGCTGTGAACGTCCACAGAACACTGCTGCTGTAAGGTTTCTACACCCACCGTCCACGTGTTGGAGCAAGACCTAATATTTGACACCTGAACCCATATCCAGGGGTCACATAAATGAACATAACCTGACTTCTTGAAGAGAAGCTGAGCATGCTGTCCATAAAAGCTGCAGGTGCCCAGGATGGGTACACACCAGGTCACTAATTCGCATGCCAGACATGGGTTGAGGTGCCTCGGTTGTCGTGGCCAACTTCAAACCAGCTGGCTACAGCACAGACAACGGGGGTTATACAGAGCAGGGTCTGGCTTTCGCAGGCAGCATGGGAGCCATTTAAGGGTCGCACCTCTCACGTAGGGAATGCCTGCTACGTACAATGAAATGAGGACTGTCATTACAGTCAAACAGCACACAGTGCAAAAATCCTGGGAAAAAGGCAAGCAAAAGAGCATGCTGACCACATGTCCTTGCGGGGTTGTGTCCTGGGAATTGTATTCCTCTGCTGTCATGCTCAAGCATCAAATTTTTCCTGAGGATTTTGGCTGGGAGAATAAATAGTCGGAATAAAATCTCCCGGAGGTTTTTGAGGCTTCTGTTTGAGCGAAAGAGCAAGAAACACACTCTGGAGATCGCAACTAGAATAAGCCTTTTCCAAAGCCACCTTCAGAGGGGGCAGGTTGAAGAGACCGAAGAGCTGAGGGTATCCTTCCCACCGATTTGCAATTTCTCTCTTTGCTGGTGTGAGGACTGATGCAGGACAGCGGTGCAGTCTGCCACTACTCTGCTTAGCGTGTACAACAACAGTCGGGACATGGTGTTTTTTCCTAGAGGACGTAATGAGTCTGGATTTCCCCATATTGCCCTGAACTCCTTTTTCTTGTGCCAAAGAGCAGCTTTGGACTCCATCTCAGACATCAGTGACTCCTAATGGCACCAGAAATTTCCAGTAGCTTAAGAACAGAAACACAGCTTAAGCAGGGATTTACTCTTTTTCACCCTTGGACTAAAGATCATAAATGAGTTTTTTATGCATTAGAATACTCATTAGTCCACCCCAGGCAGAAGCCAAGATGTGCTGTTGTGAAATCATGGTATAATAAAAGCTAGTGAGGTCTGTGTCGAGTTTAACCCAATTTGCAATCAGCTAAGACTATAAAAAGGCTGGACCGTTTTTCTTGTATAATTCCAGTTCAGTTCCCTCCCAAAGGACCTGTCTGGGTCTTGACCTCACCTCTCTCATTCCTCAAACTGAGTCTTCATCCAGGAACTGTGCTTCAGAGAGACTTGTTGCAGCTCGTAGCAGCTACCACATTACAGCCCTGCTCCAGCACAGCTCCTGCCGGAGGGAGTTTTGTCACCAGTTCTGGTGAGCTCAGGTTTGAGTCCCCTCTGGATTATTCTAGTGTTAAAATAATCTTTCCTTAAAAGCTTGATTGTGGGGATGGATTTTAAATTGAGGCTACATAAAACAAATTTAATACTTAAGCAAAGATGAGCCCAGTTTTATTCCTCTTTGATGTCGTGGTTCATCGTCTGCGTTAGAAAAGCAAACACATTGTGCTCATGATTTTGCTATCACAAAGGACCTTGCCCAAACTCTGGATTAGAGTAAATTTGGAGCTAGCTCTGAACTGGGTGGCTTGGGCACATCTCCAGAACAAACTGCAAAGCTCTCTACCTCCGAACAGATGCGTCAAGGTGGTCCAGAGACCTGCCTGGGGTCTCCTCCCTGGAGCATTGGTTCCCACACCACGCAAGGGGCAGGCAGCAGACAGCGAGGAATACAAGCCCCAGATGTATGGTTACACCCACTCCTTCATTACCGACGCGTGCATGTCTCCCCCTAGCAAACAGACAGGTGAAGCCCTCTTCACCCTCCAACTGAGATTCTCACCATAGGGTAAACTAATGAGAGCTGAGAATCCACCTTGATTTGCATGGGATTGGTACATCCTCGGGGGCTCTCCGGTCTCTCTCCACCAGCGCTGCCTGTCCATGCAAAGATGTCCGAGGGGCTGTGTTGGCCAGGGCTGATTGTCTTCATTTCCATCTCCAGTTCTGCCTCGAGCTCTGCCTCCTCCTTGGCCTCCTTGTTGCTCTCCTCCAAGTGCTTCATGAGCACAGCGATCACCACGTTCACCAGGACAAACTGGGCCGTCAGCACGAAGGAGACGAAGTAGATGGGTGAAATGACGGTGTTGTAACAGGTGGATTCCTGGTCACAGTCTCGCAGCGTGTCCTGGAAACAGGGGGGAAATGATGGAAGGATGTGAAGATGTTCCCGCATGGACCTTGGTCTGCCGTCTGGTCATCGAGCTGCCATAGGTTCTCCTTTCATGAAGAAAACTGAGAAGACTGGGCAAATCTAGAATGGCAAAATACTTGCCAGTAAAACCTTACATTTCTGTTAGTCACCACAAGCAGGCTCAGAGGAAATTGCCCTTGGGGCGTGCAACAACAGACATCGATGCCCTGCTGCCCCTAAGGAAAGGCTGGGTTACCAGGTTAGAGACCAAATGCACACGGGTGCAGCAGACAGATCCAGGGCCAAGCAGCTCTGACCCATCAGCTATCCCACAGCAGCTGGGCTTGCAGACACTCCTTCCTCAGGTTCGGACCCTGTCATTAAGACTTTGGCCACCTAACACCCACCATGGGCTACAAATGGCCAGAGAAGCAATTCCTTTGAGTACCCTGTGTATTCACAGACCAGATTTCTTCACAGGAGCATGCCTTTATGACTGTCCCCTATGAGAGATTCTCTCAGAAACCTGGGGTTTCCCAGGAAAAAAACCCCACACAGTAACAGCAACAACAATAATAATAGTAACTGGAGACTTTTAAGGAAAAAAATAAAACTAATGCATGTCACTGAGCTGAACTCATGTTTTACTTGAGAGATGAGTCCCTTTATTTTTTCCCCTTCTTTTTAAGTTGCTCTCTTAGGTTAAGAAAAAGGAATATATGGAGCATGCCAGGAGCCTGCAACCATAGGCTCCGCACTGGTGGGAGGAGAGAACAGAATTAGAGACTTTGCCCAGTGCACGAATGAAGAGACCGGCTCACTGCAGGACGTGAGTGTCCTGGCTGAGCATCGTTACTGCTCTGGAGCAGGGTGGATGGCTTCTAATGAAGCAATTACAGGCAGTAGTCATTTTTCATGGGTCTCTTACCTTCATTATCCCGTTCCAGTTGTCTCCCGTGGATACTCGGAAGAGAGTCAGAAAGGCCATCCCAAAGTTTCTGAAGGTGGCGTGCCGTCCCAGCCCCTCACAGGGGTGCGTGTCGTCGCACTCTGTGGGACCAAGCACAGCCTTGAGACCCCTGCTCACCCACCGCTCCCACCCCTTCTGCTGGCACGGGACAGGGGAAGACTCACCAAGGTCTCCAAACAGCTCCACTCCAAGAGCTGCAAATATGAAAAACAACAACATGAAGAGAAGACCCAGATTCCCCACCTGGAAAGAGAAAAAGAAATGGGGGGGAAAAAAAACACAAAAAAAGAACATTCATTGATTTTTTTGTTCCAGACCTGTTTCTTGCTGTATTCTTTAATCCAAAACTTAAATTGCTTCAGGGGAAAAATGACCTCAATGTGAGGACTGTATCTCAGACTGTGCTTCGGAAGGGACATGTGATTCTCTAACGACAGTAAAGATAAAATGATTAGCATTCCTCTGCAATAGGAAATTAGCTCTGGGCCAGAGGAGATCTGGTTTGATATGGCAGTGGGTTACCTGCGGCAGTGCTTGCATCACGGTGTCCAACAGGGCTCTCATCCCTACAGCCATCTTCAGCAACTTCAACACTGTGGAGAACAGGTTCGTAATATGGTAACAGCAGCGTTAGCATGGAGGCATAAACTCAGTCCCTCTCCCAGGAGCCACAGATTACAGGAAGAGAAATGTGAAATCATATCAAGTGTTCTCCATTAGCTGCTATAGTCCCTGGCCCTTTTACATCGCTCCTGGTTGCTTGGATACTATTAAAATCCCGTGAACAGCAGCAGCATCTATCCTGAGACTTGGGGAAAGCGTCATCGTTCTGCCTGGCTCTTCCTTTCCCCACTTTTTCTGTGTTGGACCCATCTCCTTCTTCCTCTGGTTATCGTGAGCCATTGCTTTCCCAGCCCCGGGGCTACTTTCCCACTTCCATAGGCTACCCACTTTCATACATGATTCATTGAGGAGCTGATTTACACAGCTCTTCCAGATTGTTGCATTTGCAATTGGAAAATGCATATCTTTTTAATTCTGAAAGGGATCCAATGCACGAGAAAAACACTTCCCCTCCCTCCCCCCTTTGAGACACAGCAGCATTTCATTTCTCCTCCAGTCCCTTCTTTGCTTAGATGAGGGCTGCAGCCGTAACAATTATGCCTCGGAGCACAGCATTGCCCTTCAGGAGGGGCTGGGAGTACTTTATTAAGGGCCTGAGCACTCACATTTTACATCTTTGTCATTTGGCCCTGAGACCTCCCTGTTCTGAAAAATCCGGCCCTGATGAAGCTGGCTTCCCAGCTCAGGTACGTGTCGTTACAAGTCTGAGGGGACAGATGGATGCAGTGACGAGGCACGCTTTGTCACCAAGTGGTGAGATGTTAAGCCCCATGGGAAATTAAATTTATTAGATGCTTGTCTTTTAAAGCCAACATACTCGAGCTTGTGTTCTCTAATCCCCGTTAGAGACGGCTTTGATTTGACTGGCATATTTTTTCCAGGTACATCTCTGGTAGTTACAGCCACAGCTATTGCTCCTTTATTTTTAAGGTCTCGGCCTTCGAGTCCTCTTAAGATAGAAACACATGGTCAGTTGGCTCAGCTTTTTGGCTCCTCGCAAGTATTTTCCCCCATTGTTCTTTTATTTGTTTACAGCCTGTTGATGCCAGAACTATGCACATTGTGATGGGGCTGTGCCCCAGAACCATTGCCCAATGCTTAACTCTCTACTGGAGGAGACCCTGCACCTCAAACAGAAGTCAATTCTGCTTTATTCGCCTCACCTCGAGCAATCCTGAGAACCCTCATGATTCGGATAATAGTGGGGTTAATTGGTAGCGAAGCGTTCACCTCAATCTCTTCCAAAGTGATGCCCATGATAGACAGCAGCACAATTGCCAGATCTAATTGGTTCCATCTGGAGACAACACAAAATGAAGTTTAACATCTACTAAGAAGCTGGTGAGGGGAGGTAACTCATTTCACACAAATTCCAGTCATTTCAATGGTTCTAGCACTCAAATGAATCTGCAGCATTTTTCTGAGGGTATTATACAAAAGCAGTTATGTTATGAAATCATTATAACTAATGCATCTCATTAGAAAATCAGCCAATTCCAAAGATATTCTTGACTGAGAGGAGACAGAAACAAAGGCCGGGTAGTTTTCTACCCAGAGGCTGCAGACCTCAGGGGAGACGCTGTAGTATCTGCCCGGCCACTCCTAGGCATGACACTCGTGGACCTCAGCATGAGACCTGTCCTAGAAAGAACCGGACCCCGTGCCCAGCCCTTGAAACAAAAATCACACTGGGTGAAGTAAGGATCCCAAGGATTTGTGCCAGGTCGGAGGGAGGCATAATCCCAGCACGGACACCCAAAACATGGGGAGAGGGGTGGAACCATCCCCTGGCTGCTGAAGGGCTCTTGTCAAGTCCTGCTCAGTGCCTGTGCTCTTGGCATTAACACTGAAGGAGGAAAAAATGGGTGGGGAAAG